TGTGTATATGAACCCAGTAAGGAATGATAATATATCACGTATAATTAGTGTGTATATGCACCCCGTAAAGAATGATAATATATCACGTATAATTAGTGTGTATATGAACCCCGTAAAGAATGATAATATATCACGTATAATTAGTGTGTATATGAACCCCGTAAAGATTGATAATATATCACGTATAATTAGTGTGTATATGAACCCTGTAAAGATTGATAATATATCACGTATAATTAGTGTGTATATGAACCCCGTAAAGAATAATATATCACGTATAATTAGTGTGTATATGAACCCCATAAGGAATGATAATATATCACGTATAATTAGTGTGTATATGAACCCCGTAAAGAATGATAATATATCACGTATAATTAGTGTGTATATGAACCCCATAAGGAATGATATTATATCACGTATAATTAGTGTTTATATGAACCATCATATTAAAGTGGAGGGGTTGCCGCGAGCGTGTCTTTGAAACTTGAGTTCCAAGTGGCGTATACAACAGATTGTTTATTTACATCAAAACACGTGTTCAGTGTAGTAGTAATATGGCCAAAAATAAAAACCGCCGTTATTCGGCCGTCTTTGATCTGATTATGAAACACACTGCTATGTACGATGTATGTGCCAAATACGAATGAAAATGGTACATAAATATAGTAGTAAAGCCAAAAAGTCAGATGGCTGTCAATCGGCCATCCTTGACCAGATTTTGAAACAAATTGTCATGGACATGCATCCTAACATGTATAAAGTACATGCATGTGCCAAATTTGAATGAAAACTGACAGAGCACGTCCAAGATACCGCATTAAAAAAAAAGATGCCTGCCAGTCTACCATCTTTGATACAATTGCGAAATAAGTCGTCACGGACATGTATCCTAACATGTATAATCTATGTACCAAGTTTGAATGACAACTGACAAAGCATGTCCAAACTACAACATTTTCAAAAAACAAGATGGCTGCCAGTCGGCCATTTTGAATCGAATCGCTAAACCACTGCATGTGCATATGTCCCACATAAAGTACTAGGTACATGCAAAGAATGAACGAAAACGGTCCAAGGGATTCTGAGATATGACTCTGGACGGACGCACAGACGGAGACCGAATTATAAGTCCCCGTTTTCAGACAAATAATTAGTGTGTATATGAACAGGTTGTACAGGTGTCTGTCAAAAATTAATGATTCACAGAGACAAATATGAACTGCCTTATTATATTCATTGTGCGACTGCTGTATTATTTGATAAGTAAAAAAAAAAATGCCTTCTATGAATAACCATCATGTTGCAAGCTCTGCTTTGTATACAAATCAATTTAAATAGTTGGTGTCAAGTGAAGAGAGACGTCAACAGTTATGATACCTCCTGAAAATCTACATCTTCGAACACTGTAATCTTTGTTTTTGAAGTGCATTTTTAAATTAGTATTATAAAAACTGAAACAAATTCCTGTGAATTGTCATTTGTCGAATGAACTGTTTGTCAAATACAGAATACATATTTTTGAGTACAATTTTCTTATTGTGCACACAATAACAATTATTAACAACGACGATGACGACCAGAAAATTTTCTCCTTAAAATATTGGACAAGATGATTTCATCCAAGATAGTGTACAGACTACAGGCACTATTTCAAGGGACAAGATAAACACACAATACATTTTCAAAATGCTGTATTTAATTTGTAATTAGTAATCACACTATATTGTACATAGTCTAATAATATTTAGTAAATGTATGCAATATTTCTACATTATTATGTAAATGAAATAGTAAGTGGCAGTAAGAAGTTATGTACATGTTTAGTTGATTCCATTCAGTCTGCATAATTTGGGGTCTACAGAATTTCAGTGGCTGCCAATAGCTATAACCATTTTATTTTTGTGGCAATTCATTTTTATAATTCCATAATTTGAGGAAGGAAAAAAAGTTTTGAAAGTTACCGACTCCAGTGGAAATCATCGAGACTCCCTAGAAACCAGACTCCCTAGATGTACAGTAGTCACCATGACTCCCGAGATGTAGTCAGTGTGACTCCCTAGGATCACAGTGATAAGCACTGTCACGAATTTTGTTTATAAAATGTGAATTTCATTTTACCAAAATTACATATTCAATAACTATAGTAAAATGTTTTTCAAGATCACTACATCAATCTATCATTTTCTGTTTCATCAATGATGCATAAGTGGTATCAACAGCATGTCAGATCGGCTTAGAAGGCACACTGGCAACACTTTCCTGTCATTCACTTTCTTTCCCAATGAATTGTACAGATTTGTGACATACAATACAAACGTTAACATCTACCTTTTGTGAAAGCAATTTTTTTATACGATAATCCACACCTGGCTTTTTTAAAAATATAAATAGCAGTGTACATTAAAACATGTCAAGTCATACAATGAGTACAAATACATGACATTAAACTTTCATTTTAAAGTGGCATTATAGATAAATTTCAATATTTTGAGATTTAAATTGGATGTTTGTTTCGTTTAACATTGTATGTTGCCCATAACTCAAAGTTTGTTAATTTGTTAAAATAATAATATGGAAAATTTTTTTTTGCCCGCAACTCAAGTTCCATTATAGATAACGTAGAATTACAGATGTTGATGGACAGCTCACTATAAGTCCCTGTTTTCATGCTACTCAAAATGGGATCTAACAAAGCTGCAATAAAGATGTGTATAAGTCTTTATCACAAAACATGATACTGTAAAGGGGGTAATTATTCACTGGGTTTTAATTTAGCTTATTTTGCTGACTGGAAAAATGCGCTAAATTAAAACACAGTGAATATGTAATATTTAGCATAGAACACATTATCCAAATAACGAAACCGTGAATTTAAAACCCACTGAATATGCCTGAAATGGTAAATCAGTGAAATTTAAACCCAGTGAAAATTAGTCATTTTACAGTAATCAACATAATAAACTATATTAAAACAAACATAAATATAGACAGTAATACAAGTCAACTTTTTCACCACCAGACTTTCTCAACTGAATTTTTTGGTACATTTCCCTCATATTCTTCAATATTTCTGGACATGAACCCTAATTTTGTAGCCAACAGAGTTTGAGTCGTTTTTTACTCGAAAAATTTGGTTATTTTTGTCCCAATCTTCTACAGTAAAGTGCCGACTATAAACTGGACTATTTTGTGAATTTGTGATGAAAAGAGGAAACTGGTGGTGAGAAGGTTTACTCTACTGATCTTTATCTTCTTACATAACTTGTTTATATTTGTCAAAGCCTACCTCAGATTGTCCACTTTACATTTCTAACCATGTTTTTTCAGCCACAGGTGAAATAAATCTGATGAGTACCGACAATAAAATGGTTACAAATCTGTAGAAATGGTTGCAAAGTAAAACATCCCACCATCATCAAATCAAAGGTAAAACGAGATGTCATGACAGGTTATCAGCTAGCAAATACACAAATTTCCTTGCACAGTGAGGGAACCAATCAAAATTCATCAGTATTTATGTAATGGCAGAGATAAAGTAAATTGAATTTCAATTGAATAGAGCCCAAGAGCAAAGCAATTTGAGGTTAAAAGACTGAGAAAAATATTTCCTTAAAGAAATCTTTCTCTCCTATTTTTTCCATCTTAAGAGGTTTACTGGATATTTAAATCATACTTTTGAAACACAGGTTTTTTCACAGTATTTAGCAGTAATTTGGAAAAGAACTAATATAATAATAATGGCCAACAATGCCCATCATTTAGTCCATGATTCTGCCTAACTCAGCTGACATATCTGCCTAACTCAGCTGACATATCTGCCTAACTCAGCTAACATATCTGCCTAACACATCTGCCTAACTCAGCTAACATATCTGCCTAACTCAGCTAACACATCTGCCTAACTCAGCTAACATATCTGCCTAACTCAGCTACATATCTGCCTAACACATCTGCCTAACTCAGCTAACATCTGCCTAACTCAGCTAACACATCTGCCTAACTCAGCTAACACATCTGCCTAACTCAGCTAACATATCTGCCTAACTCAGCTAACATATCTGACGAACACATCTGCCTAACTCAGCTACCATATCTGCCTAACTCAGCTAACATATCTGCCTAACACCAAGTCTCTCAATTCCCATGGAAAAAGTATTCATTCTAATACTTCCGTGTCCTAACTGGTTATTATGCATGATTCAATGTGAGCAAATAAACCACAAAGTAATTCTGTTATTATATTCTCGGAAGAACACGTCTTCTACAAAAAGAAAGATCTTAAGTGCTTGCGTTTGCAGTAGAAACGATGAAAGTAGAAGCTACTTCCTTAGCTTGTGGCTTCTTCTGTGAGTCCTGTGGAGATTTACTAACTTGTTCGCTTGTACCACTGTTATCTGAAACCACAGAATGCTCTGAGTTAACCTTCTTAGCGGGAGGTCCAGATTCGCTCGTGTTCGCCTTTCTCTTTCTGACTGGAATGAGGGATTTCACCAAATTCTTGGCATAGCTAAACTTTAATTGTTCAGAAGTAGAAGTAGAAGCAGAGCTGCGCAAGTCATTCTGGAAACTCTCATGAACAGCAACCTTTTCTGAGTCAGCGAACATACCAATGCCATGCCATTGCTTGAGAAATTCTGGAACATGGAACACAAGGATGTGGAACTCCAAAGTAACGCTCTGTTTAAACTTTAATGGATACCAAGATCCGAGACGCCAACATGCACGCGATAAACTATCTATCTCTGAATCACTCAGAAAGCGTGTCAAACCAAGTATCTTGTGAATAGCGGCAAACTCTTCAAACAGCTTCATGAATGTAGATTTCAGATCATGATGAAGATATAGAACACTCACTAGTTTTTCATAACTAGACATAATCTTCTTCAAGCCATCCCATGTTAGTTCTTTAGACAGGAAAGTAGACATGGGTATCTTTAATTCTTCAGTGACTATGTTTGAAAGCTTCTGCTCCAGAGTACCAACCACTGCATGCTTAGATGCAACCATTGTTCTATTAACCTCTGCCACCTGCAGCTTTTCTTTCAAACTATCTACCTTGGTATTTTCTTCTGATTTCTTTTGAAGCACTAAGGTGAGAAGGTGGGGTAGATCAAGTACAGTCTTCTCACAAACTGGGCATGTGTAAGGTCTGTTATTCAAATTCTTGTAATCCTGTATTACACTAACACACGACTTGTGAAACCACTTACAACATGACTGGCACTCCAACTTTGTAGTTTTTATTTGTCCTTCTTCTGTACATTTCAGGAAATCACATCTGTTAACAGCTTCTCCTTCTACTGCTTTGTTGTTTTGTTTAGTAATCAAAGAAACAACATCATTACTAATAGACTGGTCATGAACAGCAGCCAGCAACTTTGATGTGCAGCTTTGGACCTCCGTTTCAAATTCAACGAGCTCATAGCACTTCTTGCAATCTTTGAATCGTGAAATATGGTCCAACTTCTTGCACTTCTGGAACAAAAGGTTAAAGAACAACAAACCTAAGCGAGTAAGAATGCGTCTTGGACACGGGACGAGCTGATCTCGTGGAATGTCAATAATTGGATCATCAACCATTCCATTCGCCTCAGATCTTGATTCTAAGTCGAACGAGCGTTGCTTATATGCACAATGAGAATAACGCTTCAGCTTATTTTTGTCTAACAGGAATGGAGTATGTGGATGACCTTTCATGTCTCTCAGTCCCTTCTGTGGTACCAGACACCAGAGACAAGGATGTGACGAGCTTCGCCCTTCATGACCAACTAGGTTGCACATGGAATCATACTCGCAGACAGAGAACATCTTAACCGGTACGTTCTTTGGGAAACCAAGCCCTTGTTTACCGATACAAATGCCAGATGCAGCTAACTTCTCAGTTTGCACTCTTAGGTTAGGACTAAACAAGGTTTTCAAATTGAGATAGGTATCAGCAGCATTAAAGACTCCTACCAGCTTTGGCAGCAACTTGTTGCTTTTCTTAACATTAACAATCTGCAGTATAACTTTGGTTGACTTTCCATCAGAGGCAACACCCAACTTGACCCATATATTCTCACTGAAGTGGCCTCCCATTAGCAACCGTTTCTTACTAGCATGATATTTCACCATCTTAGTCACCTCTTGTTTGACATTCTTCATTTTCAAGTATGTGACTTTGGATAATTTCACTCCAATCTTCTCAGTACATAGCATTTCAGCTCCTACCTCAATGGCTTTTGGAGAAATGTCCACATCACCTGTGAAAACAAACAAACAAGGAATTGTTAACACAATATAGACCATGGCGTTGGGTGCTAAGTAAAATGCTGTAGGACAAATCTAAAATATCTGCAACAGTTATAACTAAGTATTTCAAGATGTCTGTAAGAGAGAGGTCATTGCAAATCAAGTCGCTGTCAATAAATGTCTTGACATTTTGATAACATATACAGGCAGCCTCTCGGATGAGTTAGCTCAGCTAATAGAAATGCACAATTCAATTAGAGAATTGAAGACGTCATCACGAAATGAACAAATCTGAGAGGTTAACCTGAAGTAACTATATGTATAGTATCAAAACAATCGGACTTGGTTATTTTTTAACAAGAAGTCAAAATTACCAGAATCTGTCGTAAATTGGCCCATCCAAAAAATCGCCCAGGGCAATGTCACAGCTAGTGGGCCCTTATTTGGTGTTCCAAATTTTAAAAAATGATCATCAAATATTTGTTGGGTACTTCAATTTTCATTGAAAAATCCACCCACAGTACAGTTCTCGCGAAAGCTTTGGCTTCACTTCAGGGTCAACTTCGCTTCAGCATCGCATTATTATGGCATTGATATGGCTTCAGCATCGCATCAATGCCGCGACATTAAAAAGTTAGGCGGTTATTGCTTCGCTTCATTGTGGCATCGCCTCATCAAACAAAGAAGTACAGTACTCATTTTGCCCAAACTCTCGCCTGCTTCCACTTTTCAATCGCTGGCTTTTGCGACCGCTTGTTGAATTTGACAGGACAATTTTCGATTTATTTTTGATCGTGCAAAAATTCAGACTACTAAAAATTTACTGGTTTTCATATATCATGGTTACTAGTTTAGTAACCGTGCATAGATGTTGAACAACCGTCGAAAGTTCAAAAACTTTGTGTTTTAACTATCTATAATTATATGCATGCAATTTGACCCTTTGACCTAGATTTGGCTGGGATTGAATATTTTATTTTAGACAATATTCTGACGTGACACACTGCTACAAAATGTATTTCAACAGTATGTCTGGGTTTCTTTTCCTGATTGTGTTGAGTTTACGATTTGTATAATTATTGTTGTTTCCCCCCCCCCCCCCCCCCAAGGAGAAGACAAGCAGAAGGACCATGAAGCTAAATAGAAGTCCCAGGCATGGACTGAGTGAAAGAAATATTTCTAAGGCTAAAATAAAACCTAATATTACACCTCTTTGTGTATTTGTCAATTTTGCATATATTTGGTATGACTGTATGTTCGTAAATATCTAGAAAAATCTTTTCTTTCGTTAATAATTTCATTTGTTTGAAAATGTCTATCGACCGTGTCCCAATAATTTGTTTGGAATATCGATCCCCGTTGGTTTCTCCAAACGGTCCCGACGTCCGTCATTCAACACAATCAGCATTTATTTATCGTAATTCATGGGGATCATGTCTCGTAATTTGCGGGCTGTAAAACCAAATAATTAAACAAGTTCTATTTATTATATATATTTTTTTTACCTAGCGAAACTATAACCATCTTTTTACCTCCATGCTATAACAGAGCGTAGAGTTGTCGCGGTGAAAGTCATCTTGAAATTGATGGAACTTCAACTATCCAATTCCCACCTTGAAATAAAAAAAATTCGAAGAGCATTGGGGGATATATTATTAACCAGTCTTAGTCTTACCAATCGCTAACTTTATTTTATTAGAATCCATAAAAGTTTCTCGACATTTGTTGGCAACTTCCGCGCTAAAAAGGGTTGAAAATGTGGGTGTGGTTCTCTCGCAAAGTCCTGTCGATAATACGGACAAATATGGTTATGTGACCTAGGTCGTGCTCCGATCAGGTGACTCTCAGCCAATCAATAATGTTGCATATTTGACACAAATTGAAGGGTTGTCAAATCATCCAATCTCCGGCGTTTATTCACATAGTTTTTTGTGCTGTGACAGGCTTCACAATTATTCACTGAAAAACATCGGTATATTTTGACAAACAGCTGGGATTTGACCTCAGTTCAAAAAAAAAAAAAAAAAAACTGGGCTGAGATACAAGGTAAACCAGACTGGGGTTGATGATTTTCAGTATCGAAGAACTTCCGTGTGAATCATAATTTTCAAATTGTTCGACTGATCACCAAATATTTACAGCTACAACTAAATGGACACGTTTTTTTCTGAAGCCCAATAAATTATTTCTGCATGTCAAGCTCTATTTGATTTTTTACAGGGCATGTGGCTCGTTTTTATTCGAAAATATTTTTTGTGAGAATGCTTTTAAAGTATGTATAGATCGAGCTCAGGTCACCGATCGTGACTTAATTTTGAAAATTAGATGTCAAATTTTACCAGACAGACGCCACCACAATCATCCAATCATAGTTGGAAATGTACACACTTGTTTTGGAACTTTGTATCAAGGTGAATGGCAACAACACAGACGCACCAGGCGGCGTACGTGTGTTTGGCATGTATTAGTAGTACAGGCATGGGATCGGACTTGACTAAAACCAAATGAAAAATACCACCAAAATGAGAAATCTGAATCTGTTCTCTTACCAGCAAATAGAATGAAATGAAAATAAGATAATTTTATAACAAGTTTCATTTCGTATACAGCAAATTGTGTTGTATCCGAACGACGATTGCATCATGTGAATTAAATTTATCACGATATTCCTTGCAGTCAATATGATACTCGTCACCTTGCCGATTGTACTTCACAAAGTTTTTGGTGCCCAATACTCGCAACACTAAAATAACAAGTCATTGAAAATGACACAGTTCCCATTCAAACTGTACAAATAAATCCTCGTGTACCAAACTTGGTCTTGACAATATTCAAGAAATATATTTACATGGTGAAATACCAAAACAGTGTACATTCTGAGTATGACAAATAAGAATAAACAAAAGAAAATGGTTTACAGTGCACTGATCAAGTATGAGTACTTTCAAAACATT